CACAGCTAGGACCAGCAGGACCAATAGGACCACAGCTAGGACCAGCAGGACCAATAGGACCACAGCTAGGACCAGCAGGACCAATAGGACCACAGCTAGGACCAGCAGGACCAATAGGACCACAGCTAGGACCAGCAGGACCAATAGGACCACAGCTAGGACCAGCAGAACCACAGAAGGACCAATAGAACCACAGCAGGACCAGCAGGACCACAGCTAGGACCAGCAGGACCACAGCAGGACCAGCAGGACCAGCAGAACCACAGCTAGGACCAGCAGAACTGTACCTTGGTAGATGTCATACTGTCCAGACATCAGGCTGTAGCTCATGCCCAGGTGTGTGTGATGGTGTGTGTGGAGGTGTCGAGCAAACGACACGTGGTTCCTCTCTCGTTCCATCTCTCTTCCTCCCTCAGGGGAGCCCTTCTCACCAGGCTGCAGAAAACAAACAAACAAGCAAATATTTTTTTTCTCTTAAATTTACAGAACTATTTATTGTGTGCAGAAAACTTAGTGACACAAAACTGATAAAACCCCAAGTGAATCATCCACTAAAGAGGAAGTTTAAAGTTTATTTATGTCATTTTCAACTTTTATTTATTAAAAAAGATCATATTGAGGTTTTTACACAACAGCCTAATGACTGATTGATTGTTATGTAAGAACGTGTTTGTAGGACTGGAATCAGACGCACAAAACTGGTCCAGTATTCAGACTTGAATGTTTTTTTATACACACAAAAAAAGTTTTCGCAGTGCGGTGTCCCATCAGATCAGTCAAACAATCATTGGATCAGTCATACTATCATCAGATCAGCCATACAATCATCAGATCAGTCATACTATCATCAGATCAGTCATACAATCATCAGATCAGTCATACTATCATCAGATCAGTCATACAATCATCAGATCAGTCATACTATCATCAGAACAGTCAAACAATCATCAGATCAGTCATACTATTATCAGATCAGTCATACAATCATCAGATCAGTCAAACAATCATTGGATCAGTCATACAATCATCAGATCAGGCATACAATCATCAGATCAGGCATACAATCATCAGATCAGTCATACAATCATCAGATCAGTCATACAATCATCAGATCAGGCATACAATCATCAGATCAGTCATACAATCATCAGATCAGTCAAACAATCATCAGATCAGTCATACAATCATCAGATCAGTCAAACAATCATTGGATCAGTCATACAATCATCAGATCAGTCATAAAATCATCAGATCAGTCAAACAATCATTGGATCAGTCATACAATCATCAGATCAGTCATACAATCATCAGATAAGTCAAACAATCATCGGATCAGTCATACAATCATTGGATCAGTCATACCATCATGGGATCAGTCAAACAATCATCAGATCAGTCAAACAATCATCGGATCAGTCATACCATCATGGAATCAGTCATACAATCATCAGATCAGTCAAACAATCATCAGATCAGTCATACAATCATCAGATCAGTCATACAATCATCAGATCAGTCATACAATCATCGGATCAGTCAGACAATCATTGGATCAGTCATACAATCATCAGATCAGTCAGACAATCATTGGATCAGTCATACAATCATCAGATCAGTCATACAATCATGGGATCAGTCAAACAATCATCAGATCAGTCAAACAATCATCGGATCAGTCAAACAATCATCAGATCAGTCAAACAATCATCGGA